CTGCCAGTCGTACATGACAGAATTGGCTAATTACATTGGTCCGCACACGGATGTACCGACGTCGGGCGTAGGTGTTGGACCACAGGAGATTGGATACATGTTCGGACAGTACAAGCGACTGCGTCAACTGCATCCGGGAGGCACGGAAGGGATTTTGAGTGGTGGTGCTTACCATTATCCACAGGCTACTGGCTACGGTGTGGCCCACTTTGCCAATCGTATTCTCGAATCCCGTGGAGAGTCCATGAAAGGAAAGCGCTGTCTCATCTCGGGCAGTGGCACAGTGGCGCTCAGTGTTGCGCAGAAACTCTTGGATCTCGGTGCCATCCCAATCGGAATGAGCGACAATTTCAGCTATGTGATCGAGGAGCAGGGATTTACAAAGAAAAGTCTGGAAGAGCTCATGCGCATCAAGGAAAAGCGTAATGCGCGTCTCGGTGCTTATATCATGTCGTCCACCACGGCCAACTACCACCCGACTGAGGAAGGTCGTCTGTGGGAAACACCTTGTGACTACGCCTTCCCGTGCGCTATTCAGAACGACGTGGATGCTGATGATGTGCGTCTACTTGTGAAGAACGGCTGCAAGGGCATTTTTGAAGGAGCCAATTTCCCTTGCACAGACGAAGCCGTTAGGCTCATCAAGCAGCACGATCTGGCTTTCGGCCCGAACAAGGCTCTAAATGGCGGCTCCTTCGCATTAATCACGAATAACCTCGGGGCGTCGACGCAGCTATCCGACGAGGAGGTGGACAAGATCGTCAAAGGTGCGATGTATGATTAGGTTTTGTTTGTGTAAAGCGATTCTCTAACCAGGTGTGTGATGACTCTCACGGTGGCGTAGATTACATGTACGAGCTGCATGACCGCGTAGCAGCTTCCGCGGAGGAGTTCAATGCTGCAGGTGATCTCCACATGGGCGCTAACATCACGGCTTTCATGAGCGTGGCCTCTGCCATGTTCCGCCAGGGTGTAGTATAAATCGACTTCAGTGTTGCGGCCCATTGATTCGCCCTCAATAGACACCAGACATGATGCAAGATGCAAGCCGAATTGCGGGATAGCAAGAGACGGGAGAATGATGTCGAAGAACGTTTCTCGAATGCAGGCGCGATTCACTCAATCTTAACCGAACGATATGAGGTTTGCTACGAAATCGTATCTTACGCTGCGTTTTGATGAGTCATTGTCACGCTTTTCGTCCGCTGCGTTCGGCACATAAAGTAAGACATACAGGCACAATGGACGCTCGCACGACACCTCACGATACGTGGCGACACTATTCGAGCTGTTTGGCATAACAAAAGACCCTCGATCTCCAAATGCGCTCGACTGTGCCGACAAGCCCCCTCACTAGGTGCCGGAACGTCCATCCTTTTTGCTCATTTTGGATAGCGTGGTGTCGGATGAGCCAATGCTACCAACGGGTGAAAACACACCAGCGCATCAACAACCAATTCGGCGACAATACATCGGCAAGGAAAATCGTGCAGCCATTCCACAAGTTTTTACTACGATGCCGTTCGATAAAAGGTAGCCACGCTTCGACTGGAATGTCGGATCGGTCGGACTGCGCCTCGGGCGGTCAATCGTTTCCGTTTGATATTGCATGCAGGAAGTTTGGCGTGCCAAGTTCGATGAAAGGAGCGTGCGATTGTAATGCAATGATGCTCGAACTATGCCAGAAATGCTCAACATTGCTCAGGCTATTCTGTGACACTCAGTGTCGCTGAAAACGCGTATCTAGAGTAGCCTGTCCCGCAACTTAGGATCGCGCCAACTTATCACAAGCTGTAAACCTGATGCTCTTTGGCATGACACTGTCCGACGTATCTTTCTCATTTTTGCAGACTGATGTCGGCTGGTGATGTGCTGATAAACGTATCAACGGGTCTAGCTCCCAATAAGCGTTCTTCTCGTCTTTTACCGGAACATGGTAATACACGAGTTCGCGGACTCAAGATCGGATGACGTTCGAGTTATCCGAGTCTGGCACGTCAATTAAGCAGATGACGCTATTAATACTCGTCGTTGTGACAGAGTATTGTTGGTCACTAACGCTTCTCGATATACATGAACTACTACTACAACTGCTCGTAAACAAGGTTGTATGTATCTCGACACGACCAGTTCGAGCAACAAAAAGTTCCATATTTCTTGATCTACGCAAACAGTATAGGCGTATGTAATCTAGTCTGTTGCAAAATAGAAGGACAATTCACGACATACGGTCGAGCAAACTTATCCCTTCCATGTCGATGGCACACTCGAAGTACACGGTATGCAACGCCAAATGGGTTTCCCCCCTTTATCGAACAAATCAAATCTCGGTGTCGAGAATGTCAACTACTACGTGGAATCTTCGGTAACCACAAAGATCTGTGCATAGTGCAGAATAACAGAGCGCCACTAATTCACCCATAACATCAAGAACACAAAAAGTGCTTCGGGCCTTGTGGCCTGCGGATTTTTGCTACGTCGTACGTTGTTGAGTCGTTCTATTCCATTTTGCTTGTCAACGGAGCAAACTGCGATGCGAATTGAGGTCGATGTTGCTTCTGTAGCTCGATTTTGCCAAAGCCTGCAGTAGGATACGCAATGTTTCATTAGCGCCGAAAGAAAACAAGAGCTTGTAGCGCGAGCTCTATTTGAAATCCAGTCCTTGATACGAGTAGCGACAAAGACAAGCTTCTCTCCCATGCACGATCAAGTGAGATAACGTTTGGGTCTTCATCGCGCAGACGATCATTGCTGTGTATTCGAAGTCACACGACGTTTCCAACCAAAGATATCTTGACCTTCGCAGTAGTAGGAGAACGGTGACGAGCAGCAACAAACTCATCATTATTCGGCTGCATGCCAGCTCGACTCGAAACAATAGCAATCTTTAGGCAACATGCACTCACGCTCGATAACGCACGTATGATTCACTTTTGGATTGCGATTTTGTCAACTGCGGTATCCGTGCAGGTCTCTGCAGCCTATTGTTTTGATGCCATTAACCTTTCTCGGCTTCCCAAAAGTGGTAGTCTCTGACAGACAAACCTCCTCATTCGTGAAGAGCGCTCACTGCCCACAAGGCAATTTGTTAGAGGCTTGTGACAATCATGGGCGGCCGTAAACTTTCCCTTATTCTGCCTGCAGATGATCCTCTAAGTCGATAGCATACACCTGAACGGTGGTAGCAGTATGTCTTGGAAGTTTGTGATGCGCTTACCTCGGACATCGGCCTATCCCTATCCGATGCTGCAAGCGTTTCGCACCTTCGTATTGCTACTTTGTTTTGCTTCACAGCGCAGCATCATCCTCAGTAGCGCCCTACTCATCCAAGCTTCATGATCGCACGACTCGAAGGCGGGCTTCACACGATTACAACACACGAGTGCAGGACCCGGACCTCATTCATTCAAGCCCGACTAAACAAGCCGTCCGCTCAAGATCGTACCTTTTGCATGTTTCTTGCTAAATTGACTAGACCAGATTGGCCCAACGATCTGTGCGTCACGTCGACATGACGCCATGCAAGCATTGTTATTTGGACAACATTTGCACTCCGTAATTTGTGTGCTGTCAGTGAGGCAAATACATATCACATGCGTATGTGAGTGCTGCTAAAAGTAACTTTGAGAGCGAAGTGGACGTTTCATGATGCAAGAGTGGATATCTGCCAAAATCGGCATAGTAGCTTATATAGCAGCGAATCGTCTTCGTGCGAAGCAGCTTCCCGTGTAGGCTCCTGTAGATCTGCACTTCGTGTGACGCAAGAGAAGCTTGCTGACATGGATGTTTAGCTCCGGCTACTGCGCGCAGTGTCCTCCCACTACTACCGTGTCTTAGGTATACTCTTCACGATAGAAAGAATGCTGACGGCAAGAGCTATTGATGTGATTGATATCGCGTTCGGTGGCTGAACCTGCCGTCACAGTAGTCATAGCACACGACTACGCATTCTCGACAGCACTTCCTGGATCAATCGAAACAACGATTCGTTGTCCGAGAACGAAGTGAGCACTTGACACATATTGCTTCGAACAAGGTGATAACCAGCGAAGAATGCTGCTGCAAAATGCTGTGCATTCATGTCGTTTTCACGCGGTCCAGTTGACGAACGCGAATATATGCAAGTTGTCTTGTGCTGGCAAGAGAACCCTGAATGTGCACTTGCAATCCCAAACGTATCGTATGCACATGCTCATCTTTTTACAGGCAATAGTGGCCATTTCGTGACGACAGATTACATTTGTAATGTCTGCTCTGGCTGATCAGATGCAATGTGCTTCTCCGTAGGTCAGGCAAGACTACGCATAAAGAGGAATGACTACTGCGGCGCGAACAGCCGTACTACTCACATCATGTTTGCCATGTTCACAACAATCACTTCGAAAGCTTTGCCTTCATCGATTGTCGTCTCTTTAGCACCCGTGAAGCTGCAAATGGCTTTTAAATGGCGCAAATGACGGTCGGTCGTATCTCCGCAGAGATCAGGCGACGAGGATCACTGCACATCGCGCGCTAGAACTTCCGTAACACAAAAAAACATTTGACGAGCTGAACTCATTCAATGACCGAGTGACGCACAAATCGTCGACTCGCCTGTTGGCACTGGATCGATCTCAACCCATCTCGATGTCATAATGGCTTAGCATCCACTGCTGCTTACAAGCGAGACTAACATCTGCCACTTCCATAGTCCTAAGAGCAAAGCACGCGACGGACAAGGAACCGGTCGACTTTCTGCCAAGCATTTAATGCACGATTTACCATTTTGCTTCGCGGTAGAGGTCGGCTGTAGGACGGCTTGTAGGAGGACCCGCCAAGCTTATCGTTGGCAGAAAGAAGGGTCAAAGTTTGGTGCTTTGTGCAGCCAGAAATTGCAGATAAAAATGTACAAAAAGCGCTTGCTACCTACAAGAAAAATGCCGATACAAAAACGTCTGTTCCGAACGGGTAAATTGAATGGCTCCACACTGTCCATCACTTGACAAGCATTAAGCACAACAATGTCCGACACCATAGCGCTGTACAGACGCATCTTGTCACTACTGACGCCCCAAGAACTCCACCGCGGCTCAAATTGCGTTCTCTGTGACGAGCTCTCAGCTTTGCAATGCTCAGTGGATACCGTCATGGCGACATTCATCAAGGTGGGCGAAGTGCGCGACGCGGTGAACCAACTGAATCAAGGCAAACCGTCCACGGGTTACGACGCGAGTCTCATGGATACAATGGACAGGACCATACGCCTGCAAAAGGAGTTAGGGATTCGATTGGAGAAAGTAGCAGCTGGGATGAAAGTGATGGAAGTGTTGTCATCGAAAGAAGACGAAGACGAGGAAGAGGGATCAAACCGAAACGAGAGTCGAGATACACGGAAGCGGAAGGCGGTCGATACGATTGATGATAATGGAACGACAGAAATCAAGGAAGAAGTATCCGCACCAGAAGACGAAGAGACAACACGCAAGAAAAAGAAGAAGCGCGCGGACTCTCACGAGAACGACAAAATCCAGAATGGAGCCGAGGCAAAAAGGTCGGCAGATGCAAAGAAGCAAAGCAAAGATTTCTCTCTTGCCCATGATGCCCTCAATGCAATATTGAAGGTAAAGACGGTCAACAAGAGAATGCACATGAAATCGGAGAGTAAATGGGCACTCGCCCTGTCCTCCACCAAGCGTGTACTCGAACATCAGTCTATCCGAGATACTCACGATACAGATAAAGAAGCGGCCGCTGAGGCTGCTCGCGCTCTAGAGGCCGCAGCCGAAGTATACAAGAAGCTGGAGTGGACCACCGAAGGCGCAACGGAGGCACGATCTGCACTTGCGGTGCTGACTGATGCGTGTATAAAGAATAAGATGCTCACGGTCGTTTTTCACCGGTACGGCGTACCTTCGAGTTGTGTCCTGTATGCTAAGAGAGTGGTAACGTTGTGTGTTCGTGTCGTTGATTAGAGCCCGGGCTCAACTAGAGAGTGTGATTTCGAGTATCCCAGCTTACCTGACACAAGCGCCTTACGATACAGAGTCTACAATTGCGCATATCCCACCGGAACGTTGGCTCAAAGAATATTACAAGCTTGTCAATAGTGTGCGCGCGCGGTCACCGCAAGCAAAGGCCAAGCAAGTCATTGAAGCTCTGATTGCAATCCAAAAAGTGATGGCAGGTGACGATACAGGTGCGCGCCAAGTCGACGTGCAGCAATCTGCCGGCTGTGTGCGTCGCTGGATCACCGACGTTCCGTTTCAGAGTGACCTGGCCAGGGAGTATGTCAACTTTGCAAACAGCATCACTGCTTATAGTATGAAGTTGTCGGGAGAGCAGACACAAGCGGAATGTCAAAGGTATGCGCTATTCTAGGGCCAACGGTGTCGAACGAGGGTAAAGGCTAACTATCTCTACATTGTTCTTGTTCACAGACTTGGTACAGACATACTCGCGCTACTGAATGAGAAAACTGAATCATCGAAATTGACAACGAACGCTCGCGCGCAACCGAGGATCTCAGGAACGATGGAAAAAATGCAAGGACGACTACTATCCGCAATGAGTCGAGTCAAAAGTTGGCAGGGCGGATATTTCTCCATGAGCCAGCTTGATGGAGTGATTCGTTTGATCAGCGATGTAGTCTCATACAAGGTAAGGGAGTGGAATTCTTATACGGAACAACTTCTGCGCAAGTGCTTAAAGGACGTAACGAGCTCCATCAGGACGATCCAGCCGACTAGGGACCGCGAAAGATATTTGAAAAAGATAACTAAGTGGGAGACTATGCTGGATACGCCGTAGTGAGAGTGTGTCTGTAAGCAGGCTATGGTGGCAGTCACATACAACAGAGGTTAAAGCTGTGTTGTGCTTTTTACACATTTGTCAATCTTGTAAGTGTAATTTACGAGCAAACGCTCAACGCTGTCACACGTTTTTGTTCTTTCGAAATGTTTGTTTGCAACTGCACGCTTCCGTGCTACTTGACTCGATTTCGCGAATCGCACACACGCTTGATAAAGCGCTTTCTACGGATTGCTGGAAACAACAGAAACGCAAAATGAGCAATCGAAAGCAGGTGCTTGTTTTAGCTACTGATGCTGCTATAGACTGCGGTGTACAACTGAAACATAGCGATGCAACTCTCGATGAATTAATGGTGCAAATACAAAATGCTTCTTGTTGAGGTGATTGTCAGCGTCCAGTTGGCTCAAAAGAGGATGGCGAAAGCAGTAGCAGTCTTTCGATTCAGTGGACCGCTTTAATCGACGTCCATGCTGTAGCCATACGCCAACTTGCGAAAAAACCCAAAACCCCTCCCTTCTTGGGGAAAAATTTTTTTAACCCAAAAAAAAAAAAAAACAAAAACAACCCCGAAAAACCCCCGTAAAAAAAACCCCAAAAAAAAACACCCTTTTTCCGGGGCAGCCTTCGCCCCGAAACCGGGAAGGGGGGAGGGGGGGAAAGCAAAAAAACACGCCCGCCCCCAATAAACCCCCCCCCCCCACCCCCCCCCCCCCCCCCACGCGGAAACACACCCCGATGTCTTCAACAAGGGTGGTTGTTCACCCCCACACCCACCCGGATGGGGGGGGGGAAACCCTCTTTGCTCGCGGGTACTCCCCCGGCACCCCGCTCATTCAAAAGAGATGCTCTGTTCACCTATTACGCCTCAGCACGTATCCACGCACGTAAGCTGCACGATCTCGCGCATATTCGAACGGCCGTCGTGCTCTTGCCATACCGTCTCGGCCGTGAAAAGACCGTCTGCCTGTACGAGTCCGACAAAGTGCTGCACGCTGCCGTTTGTCCCAAAGTAATACTTCTTCGCAGCAATGAGCGCACGGGCGTTCGGTGTTCGACGCAAATGTCGCTTGATCGTCTAGTACCAGACAAAAGAGCAGCCGTCAGTCTATACAGAACTTAACCAGCCAAGCAACATTCCCTTGTGACCGCCTCACCTGATACAGCTCCACCGCCACTGCCTCCGTGTAAATAGTCTCTGCTGTCAAGATCAGATCAAACTGCGTCTGGTCGGGCGTCTTGAGCTCTACAGTTTCCATGTACCGGGACATGCCGCGCCATGCTCCAGCGTAAAACTCGGCCCTCGAGAACATCTGCTCACCCACGTTACGCCGCACGTTAGGGCAGGTCGTGAGCTCCAGCACCTCTTTGTTGTAGTCACTAAACGTCACGAGCCCTGCACCCTGTTGCAGAGCGTAGATCCCCGGCAAGCCGTGGCCACAGCCCAGCTCCAGGACGGACGCCGGCATCGACGCGCCTTGTCGCTGCTGCGTCGCCAGGAGCTTCACGAGATCCAACGCGCCCTCCCAGAGCTTGAACCCGCCCTCGTAGACACCTGTCTGGACGTCTGACGTCGTCAAACACGAGCGAATAGCGCCTGTACGCGCCATAAAGGCTGCATTCGTCGTCTGAACGGTCTCGAACGTCAGGTCTTCGACTTGGACAACAGAAAAGACGGGGGGAGGGGGCGCGAGGGCTGTAGACGATCCGCTCGCACTCGCGCTGTGGTCCAACCGGCGTCGAGGACGTCGCGGCTGGCGACGGCGACGGGCTATAGACGTCGCACAGACGCTATTGTCCAGAGCAAAGTGGAAGGAGAACGACATGGCGGGACGTGGCGAGGCGGAGGGGTGTATCTTGCTTTTCGTATGACTCACAGCGGTGACGTGATCACGACAAGGCGGAGGTCGTGTGCCGTTGGAGCAGAAGCGACGCGTACCGGTACGAAACGGTCGGATGTACCGGTTGTTTTCCCACAAAGCGTTTCGGATCAAGCGCTCGCGTTGCACACAATGCGAGCGCTGGTTCCTGTGTTGACTTCGTCAGCTGAAGTAACGCTAAGCTTATTCGTTTTGCTCGGCAGGTCGTTGTTGCTCATCATCGGTCGTGGCAGGTACCGCGTCGAATATCAGCCAATCACTGATCGCAATAAACCTTCTCCACTTCTACGTGCATTCCGACAGTTTATCTGCAGCAGATGGAGTCGTCACTGCCGCCGCCGCCGCCGCCGCATTCGCCGCCCGAGTCAGTGGCAGCGAGCGCTGAGGATTTGATGCCGCAATCGATGGAGGAGCGCGTGTTCCACTTGTCGCAGGAACTCACGCAGACGGACCCGTCCGCGCCTGCGCTCTCGGACGACGAGATTATCACGAAGCTCAACGTGTGCGTGTACACTGTACACGACGTATATAATGGCTTGTAAGGAGATACACTTGTTGACGACGCAATATGTAAACTGCAACAGGATTGCTGAGACGCTCGAGGAGGTGGAAACGACTTTTCGCAAGGAGCGGTCGTCGCCGTATCGTCGCGACGGTACGGCGTACCACACACTGTGTCGATGCATGCGCAAAAGTCGCATCGACATTCGATGTATATGGACGGACGATCACGTGTCTCATTTTCGTACGACTCTATGTGGATCATGTACGGCTGTTTGTTTTGCATGGCAGGCCACTTGATTGGCAACCTATTGCAGGAGCTTGCGCAAAACGAAGATTTTTATCCAATGGTGAGATACAAAAGTGAAGGCTGCCGTTTCGAGAAGACGAGGGACTCACGCGCTTGTGTCGTTGACAGCTTGAAGAGAAATTGTCGGATCTAAGTGGAAGCCGCGTGAAAGCAGCGACATGTCGACTGCTACTGGCCACTGTGCCAGTGAATAGCCGAGCAATTGTGCGCATGTTGGACGTTGACGACGAGATGCTGGACCGCGTGTGTGGGTTTGCTACGGACGCCGATCCGGCATTGCGATGTTATGCTACTGGGCTCTTATCCGTAGGACTGCGGGACCGCTCGATTGCAGACACGGTTGTGAATACGGACACACCCGTCAAGTTATTGAAGCGAGCGCGCATGTATGCGTCTAAGTTGGAGAAAGAGAGGCAGCAAGCAGTCAAGTATATTCAGGACCATCTATGTTTACTTGCAACATCCCGCCACAAGAAAGTAGCCACTAGTGGCGGAAGTGGGTCCGCTAAGGCGCTCGTGGCGCAGCGGTCGCTGAAACGCAAACACTTGGAAAGCATCAACAGCCGCGCCTCGAATTACGGGAACGACTGCACGGAAAATGCAGATACTGCTTCGGACATCGATGCTGACGAAGACGAGCCGGCAGCCGCTGTTCCAAGCCAGCCGTCGTTACCGGTGTCAAGCCATGACGAAGATGCTCTGGGAAGTTTCGGCGAAGATGGTATAGGCGGCGTGCCAAATCTCGACCACCATGAAGAAGACTTCAAGCGCCTTGTGATGCTGGAGCTGCTGTACACGTTGGACTGTATAGGCTCGATGGGTGAGTACTTGGAGATGTTTGCTCCCGCGCTGAAAGAAGACATTGTCGGAACGATTATTACATTTTTGCACAGCAAGAATCCTGCGGTGATATCGCACACGATGACGCTGACGTCTCATTTCCTCGCACACAAGAAGTTCTCCCTTACTCTGGTTGAAACTGGAGGAGTAAATCTCCTGTTTTCTGTATATAAACTGCAACAAGCAGCTGGTCAAGTGGGTCTATTGGACCGCAGCCTGTCGATGTGTTTACATGGATTCGCCTCTTCGTCGGCTGTTATTGAACGGCTTGTTGTGGCGAACTCGGAGAATATGTTGTCAGCGGCATTCATGTTGCTTTCTAGCCCAAACGACCGTGCTAGACAGAACGCTGTGGTATTCTTTGGTCTCACCATGGGCTTTAGGGTTATACTTGACTACTTTGAAAAGCATAATGGTTTGTATACTGTGCTGAACATCATTCGTGTCGGCAAGCATCCGAAATCTTCGGCACAGAGACAACTTGCGCAAGACGCATGTTTGTGCTTGCGTCAATATGTGCGCATGCATATGGCATTGGCGGCTCATCGACTGAGGAAGAAGCTGGCCCAACTGAATCATCCGTCCAACCGACCTTCGAACGCAGCGCCTGCACTAACGGCGGCAACTGTAGCGTCACGTATCCCAGCACGGGTTCCAAAAATGACGTGGTCGAAAGCGATTGATCTGGATGACAAAAGCCATGAAGTCAACATGATATTCTATGAGAAGTATCGCTTCAGTGCCTCTAGTGGCAACTCCAACAACTCGTGGTCGGCTGCGACTGGCCCGGGCGGTGGAATGTGGCCTCCTGCTGCCAAGTTGAGTCATTTGCGGGGCATACTTGTGCTCCTAGAGGTTGTAGCTATGATGTGCTCCGTACTGCAAAGCACCAATCCGGATGCAAATTCTTCTACTATCCGAATTTGGACTGCAGAGCGCGCACAGTTTTGTTTGGATTCTCTTCGAGTGCTGACACACGTGGTTCCATCGTTATCCAATGAAGTGTGCTCGACAGAAGTTCTGATCGACGAAGGGGGTAGCTCGTCGAAGCAGTTGGGTATAACTATTCTGCTGGACATCGTGATGAGCAACAACCCGAGAGACTCTGAGCTGGTACGCACCGCACTGCAAGTGTTTTGCAACTGCGTATCTCCTCCTCATCAAGAAGACTGTTGGCAGCATCCTTACAAAGATATCCGGCAGTACACTCTGACAGCTCGGAGCATGCGAACACAGAAGGACGAAAAGTTGCAGCATGTGAGCTCAGAGACAGCCGACGGGGGATCGGGTACAGTTGCACCTGACAGCTGTATGAATTGCTGTCCGAAGGCTAGAGACGATAAAATGCTAAGGCCCGTGCGAAAGCTGGCTCGTGAGCGAAATGCGATCAAAGTATGCGTGTACTTACTTCGCTACAAGCGCTCCGTGCAAAACGCTGATGTCATTCGCTTGCTGGCAACTCGTGCTTTGCTGGGGCTTTCTCGTGACCGCCATATTTCCCAGATTATCGAAAAGATGCAAGTTGGACAGTTGCTGTCCGACATGATTCGAAGTGATCCAGTTCTGGAGGAAAACGCTGACATTCACGTACGCTTTCGAGAATCTGCTTTGGATTTAATTTCTCACGTCACGCATCGAGCGTCTAGTGTGGTAATAAATGAGGCAACGGATCCGACGGTAAAAAAGATCGAAAAGGCAAGCATAGTTGCGCATACCAAAATCTCGTACGACGAGAACGAGCTATTGCGGTTGATTCACGATCATCTACTTACGAAAGGATTGCACCACGCTGCATCATCACTTGTCAATGAAGCGAACTTCTTTGCTGAGAGGGCGCGTAAAGTCTTTTCTGCTTCAGATTTACGGCTTTCTCGGACGAATGAAGTCATAGCTGAAGTAGATAGGTCTCTTACGAGTTCGAAGGGGTCACCACCACTTGGAAAGCAGGTAGTTGTTGACCACGCACTTCCATCTGACATTCCTGCTCGAAGCGAAAGTGGGTATGTGAGTGGTGGCGATACACCACGACCCCAGAAATTGCAGCGTGTGTCATCTCTGAAGTCAATTGTGCCCGAGGCCGAGAACATGTATGTTGCAGATGTGGCGCAAGGGCCTCTAAACGCAGTTAACTCTGATGGTGGACAGGTGAAGTCCTCCACTTCATCCACCTTGTATAGACAACGAATGCGGCAGGCATTTTACAAACCGCATCTTTTTCAAGACACGTTTCTGGAGCGATCGACAAGATCTCCACGGGTCGTAGTCGAGGCAGTCTGCTCCGATGCTTCGCAAAAACTGCCGACGAGTGCGCATCGGAATCCGGACAGCAATGTTATTCATACATCTGCAACAAGCAAGCTGGATGAAATAATCACGCATTACCTAAGAGAGCAACACCGCCAATGTGCTAACCCTGTTACGACTGTGCCGCCGTTCAAGCTCTTGGGCAAAGGAGCGCAACACCGCTGCCCGGATCCGGCTACAACCGCACTATCAAAGCTAAGCGTTTGTTCTCGGCTACTACGGCGTAGTCGAACAGGGTATCGTGTGGGGTATTCGGCCTTCTCATCGTACAATGTTGATGCTGGAATTGACCGTTACGTGTTCAGCCGCTACCGGCCATACCGTGCCGTAGGGACACACATTGGGGCGTTTGCTTGGGGTGGAGCAAGCGTTGCTCGATTTTACGGTCAGGATCAGCAAGATATGTTGATTGGCAATCATGACGGTGAGCTACGTCGATTCAGCATCGAGTCTGATGCAGTTGTGGAAGAATGGACCTGCCATTCACCATCCAGTGCTATCGTTGATCTGGCAACAAATGAATCGACGTCCATGGGTGCTCAAAGCCGATTGCTGCTTACGGGGGCTGTGGCTCTGTCGGAGCTTGCTGTAAACGAAGTTGCACTCTGGGATGCAAACGACCAGAGCGCGCTCGTTGAGCGGTGGCGTTTCAAGGGTGGGCTTCGCCCCCAATTTAGTCATTACGGAGATCGCGTCGTTGCGCTTGATGCTAGCTCTAATGATGAAGATATTGGACAGGGAGGGCCAGGCTTTGCCGTCAATGGTGCCGTCGTTCTGGACATTGCGACAGGAAGCGTGTTGTGCGACCTGAAGGATGAAATGCGCTCGAATAATTATGGTGCAGAGACCAATTGTTGCTTCTCGCCATGCGACAGCACGATCCTCACGGATGGTATGCTTTGGGATGCTCGCGTTCCAACACGTGCGCTGTACAAGTTTGACAAGCTGTCCAACGTCGGTTGCGGCTTTTTCCATTCGAACGGCAATGAAGCGATCGTGAACTCGGCTGTGTGGGATCTTCGCACGTATCGGCTGTTACGAATGGTGCCTGCATTCGACAAGTGTAGCATCAAGTTTAATTCTTCTGGCAGTGTGTTGTTTGCGTATTATCCGTACGCAGGGGTGAGTAGTCTGCTTTGACTGAACTGTGTGGATGTGTGTAAGGCTGACTTGCGTCTCGTTCTTACCAGGGCAATTACTTGGAACGCAGGAAATCAAAGCTAAAGTCGTGGTTCCGCGTTTTGGATGCACGTGACTATAGAGATATTGCGACCGTTGATCTGGGTCGCCCCATCTTCGACATTAGTCTGAACGCTAATAGCACAATGCTGTCTGTTGTGGAAGGGCGGTTCTTGAAGGCCGGGGATGTGGACGATAATGATTCCATCTGCCGTCTCTATGATATTGGACGAAAGCGTCCTACCGAAGACGACTCAGACGTAGAAGACGGCGAGGGCGACTCGGACACATTGGACGATGATGAGTACGACGACGAGAGTTCTCGTGACGAAGACGATGAATTTGACGAGGATGATGATGACATGGAAGAAGAGGACGAGGAGACATCGGATTCGAACTTGGAGGAAGGCGGCAGCTCTGAGGAAGACGATGAAGGAGACCAGAGCGATGAACTTGTTGCTGCGCACATTCTTGCAATCGACGACGAAGATGGCAATGGGTCGATTTTGTCCACTCATGACCTCGGGTACTTGCTTGACCTTCCTGATGCGACCTACTACGATGTCCATGGACAATACTCGAGCGACGAAGACGACGCTGAAGAAGACGAGTAGAGAATGTGTGGCTGATGAAGACAATAGCTCATACTGAATGTTATGGACGCGATGGCCCGGTGATACAACTGCAACATTATATGGTCAACACGACAGCGCCCGTTGCATTTTGCTACTGGAGTCGATGATGCTGCACCATGTCAGCAAGCCTGAAGCGAAGCTACAAATAAGCGGCGATGAACAAGTGCAATTGAGGCAACATGCTTTGTGGCGACAATGCAACTTCGTGCCACCCAATCGAATCTTGTGCTCCTCTACAGCGTTTAGCGCGCGATAAGTGCTTACAACTATTAGTTGTTGGATAGAAGGCGTATAGGAAGGTACTCCGAGCGCGCGGGTGAGGCTGTGTCAGTCCGCGCCAACAAAACGAATGTAATGAGGTGTAGCTGAGCCTGGATGCTGCAGAGCTTACAATGTGCGCATGAATCTTAATGTTGATGCAGCATTCCACACGCGTTCCTGACGTCCGCCAAGCTTAAATTGATGAAGCAAGTGGATTCAAGACTTTTTCAAGATTACTGCGAAGACGACGATTGTGCTGCTAACAGACACCTAAAGTTATAGCCACTGAGGTCAGTGAGAAATTGCATTAGCTGCATCAACAAGGGTAGTCATCGAGCTTTTAAAACTGCTCACAGTTGTCAGCACGTCAAAGCTGCCGCCCTCGAACCATTTTAATTGGCGAAAAATGTCAGAATAGCGGTGCTAAGTTTGAGTGACAAAAAACTACCCTATCGTTACCGCGCATTTTAGATCTTTATTCTCTTAACTTCATCGAAACTTCATGACGTCGAAACGTCCTGCCAGCGGCACGAAAAACATACCAGCAAGAAGATTTTAAGCTCTGGTAGTAAAACGTACCAGCAAGACGACATGTCTTAAGCTCTGGTGAATCGACAAATATTGATGCGTGATCGAAACAAGGCGTGGTCTAGTTCTGGTTGTCTTGACAAGACGCAGCGTCTTTCGTGCCGGAAGGAATACCGCACCAACAGTGGCCATGGGCGCAGTCGCCTTTGCACGCTTCGTCGTTGGAAATAGCTTATCGTGAGCTGTGACAGCACATTCGTTTATCCATCGAAATAAAGACTTCTACGATCGAGACTTCCAGCGAAAATGCAGTGCCGAATGCAGCTATACGTACAAACAGTATGGTATTGGCGCTATCCATCCTACAGCTGCACAATATATAATGGTAAAAGCTGTACAATGGTTGCGAAAACAGACAATCGATGACATCGAAGGCTGTTCAGAGCGGGACGTGGATTTCGTAGACACACCGTATACTTTCAGCGCCCTTTCATTATTCCGACATCAAGCGGCAGCTGGACTGCTACCACACTTCCTCTCAATAGATGTAGACAGGAGGAACAACGAGTCACTGTCCGTAGCACGGATTCTATCACAGCAACTGGGCCAGCCCAGCTAGAACTTGAAACCAGAGTGCATTGCCGTGACACCAAATGTTAAGTTCGTGTAAGTCACGCGCTTGAAACCAGCATCCTCGATCATTGCTTTGAACTCTTCCTGCGGCGGAAACTGACGGATACTCTCAACGAGATACTACATGCAAAACGGCCAAAGTGAACAAGTGAGAAACTACTTCCAGCCGGTGCTGCTACGCAACACACATCACCTGGTAGGATTCACGGTCGTCGGCGACTTTCTCGCCCAGCAACGGGATCACATTGAACGAGTACTAACACATTCACGTCACATCGTAGTTAGCAAAACTATGCACTGCTTGTACAATGTGCAATCTACCACCACCTTACAGTGTCGTAAACCTGCCGGAGGAGCGAGTTCGGCACTTGACTGAACTCCATGCACATAAAACGACCTCCCGGCTTCAGCACTCTGAACGCCTCTTTGATCGCACGATCGACATGAGTGACATTCCGAATGCCAAACACAATCGTGTAGACGTCGAAGGAATCGTCGTCAAAGTCCAAGTGCTCAGCGTTGCCTTCTACCCAGCGAAAGAGCGACTGGTCCACGTGCGGCAAAACTTTCGCTGCTCGTTCCTCACCCACCTGGAGCATAGACGAGTTGATGTCACACACAGTGATCTGTGACCCTGCAGTTCCTTCTGTCGACTTCGCTAGCTGCTCCGCAATGCGGAAAGCAATGTCTCCAGTGCCTCCAGCCATGTCCAGGCACTTCAAGGGACCCACTGGGTGCAGCGCATCGACAAACGAGTCCTTCCACACGCGATGCATCCCGCCGCTCATGAGGTCGTTCATGATGTCGTACCTGCAAACACATAACTGTTGATGAGGTGTCGACATACGCACGAGTATACGTATACAATGACAACGAGCTGTCTTGACCGTTCGGCTACATTGTGGAAGACCGACGCGACCATCCGCTCTTTGTCTTCTTCCGGTACTTGCTGGAAACCAAAGTGCGTCGTGGGTCCAGGAGAAGTGTACGAAGACGAGGAACTAAATGGCGATAACGACGCAGTAGTAGAGCGAGTGCCCAGGAAGCGACTGGCGCGAGGCGAGCGACGCAGGACGAGCGACAGCGACATCGGTGACGACTGATTTGAGCGAGACGTGTTTTGGGCGCACGGCTGCTGATTGGCCAATTGCATGGCTTCAGTGACGATGACTGACACATTGACCGGTCGCGGACCTGAAGTGACCCAAAGTGACCTATAACGACCTATAATGGCCTATGATGGCCTAATGTGGCCTAGGGCGTCTTTCTGATGTATTTTTCCTTCTTATGGCGATGACTGCTTTTCAACAATACAGCTTCGGTCCTTCACTGTTCGCCACCATCGTTCTTCGCTTTTAACTGCCTACCTCGCTCCTTGTACGTTTGTCACTCTTGTCCATTTGTTTTGGTGTTACGCTCAAAGCTATAAAGCTACAACTTCCACATAGCTTCGCCAACTGCAGTAGAATATGACGCTGTTAGAAGTTAGGTATATCGTGGTTGAGTATCATCATACCCTGAGCCACTCTTCGATGTCTACAATATAATATGACCACAACTGCAAAGCATCCACGTTTGCGTGAGTGATGAGTGGACGCGGACAGCGAAAGATCGATAGTATAAGTACTTTGCAATAGTACAAGAAGCCCGTAGTCCCTTTAGTATAGCATAGCTACATTCTACAAATGCAGAGACTAGCTTCTCCATTACGGCATAACGACCGCTATAATTATCTCGATTAATACCTACGGTCAGCAAAAAAAGTATGCGTTCGAATGTAGCCGACACGTGTTCACTACGATAATCTTGGTGCCTACAATCCGTCAATATAATGATTCGCCTGCACTGCTCGTCCTTATGTGACAGGAGTGGTAAAGGCAAATCGTGATTTTGTCATCATCACAAAGGCTGATTTGATTGCATTGAAGCAATCCCTCTTCCACATATGCGCTAATGATACCTAAAAGTTTTGGACATGTCGACTACAATGACTACATGTATTGGCAAGGCGGAATTCTAAAAGAGGTATCTGAAACGGGGTGATCCTGTTTCGAGATTTATCGGTTATTACATTGATGATGATAGAGAATATTCAGTTTAATATTCTCATCGCGATATCACCGAATTTAGTGGTATTGTTGCAGTGACTCGAGGGTCTACTCATCAGTTGATATAGACCACCATGTCAGTCCACTGATCGCTACTAGACGCGCGCAATGGGTGAGTAGACGTCACGATATATGTTTTTTAATTAGTATACTTAATATAGGACTAGTAAGACAAGACACACTTTATAACTTCATTTATCAATACAATTTTACTTTATTACAACTAACCGTAGCAGCTTGGTGTCAATTCTTCCTCTAGCGTACCGTGTAAGTTATCTAACAAGGCACTAGATCACACTATTGTCAGTGAGAGCTTGCTACGTACTGGAGTCAGTACGTAGCTACTAGTGACCCGTTACAGTATCGGTATGAACCAACGAGGCGACTGCAAATAAAGGTGTTGATAAGGAGAATACGAATATATGTATTAGTAAAAATTGACACGGCGAACTCTCTTACACGTATTCGCTTTGGTGATTCATTTGAAGACGAATTGCATTGATTCTAAAAACATCGCTAATCCAAATTTGGTGAGAATGTAACGGCGCAAGTAGGAGCATAATAAGATTTATCCGCTTGCAAAAAACGCACTCAACCGCGTACTCGCGCACGGATTGATACTATCTCGGTCAGTGAAACGTCCTCGACTGACAGAGAGTAAAGTCTTGTCACGTCCACGATTCTTACTGGATGATGAACCTTGACAATACCACGTATCTTGCGGTCGCAGACCATTGTGTCTCGGAACGAGTAACGTAGTGTGGAACCGGTACCAGCTGTGTAGCACATAAACTTGTCGATAGCTGTTTATCTATCCATTGATGACCAATACATCGGAAGCAAGATTTACAAAATTTATTGGAATAGACTAAAAATGATTTGTCAAACGTACATGACCAATGTCATGTCTGTAACCTTTCTAACATCATCAATCAACCTTGGCGACGTAAGTTTTCAATTTACCGTCACATAATTGAGTGTTTCACTGTTTTGTTGGTCCTCTGGCTCGAATGCGGGTCAGAAAAGGATCACATTGCCTCGCGACGACGTTGTTTGGTCCTATTTATGGTTTACGGATGATTCATTCTACACGAAGCACTACATATGGCTCGACTTTTCTAAGACAGGTAAGGGCTTTCGCGGCCGCAATTCATGATTCATGGTAAACTGACGATGACGAACGACCTTCAGATAAAATGGTCCCACGTATTTTTACTGTACATACTTCATGCCAAAAAAATTGTGGTGCGATAGGTGAATGGTCTATGCTGGTAACAATTGATGAGGTTGATAATAGACGACGCGCTCCACGACGTCCGCGTTGTGTTCTTCTGATAATTAGACCCGTGTGTTTTCTCGTGCATACACCATGTTGAATCGTTCCTTATCATGCGCTGCGTCAAATACTTAAGCTGATTACAACTGACGCGATTGATGAAAGGCGGCGCGCTACGCCGTCCTTGTTGTACTGAATTTATGAACACTCTATTGATATTCGCTAGCGTTAGGATCACAAAACACTTCCCAGGTTCACTTCGTTGTTTTGATTAAATACGAAAGACACGCGACCATACTGGGGTAAACGGGTAACTGCATGTGAAAACACCCTAAGCCAAATACCTCCACACTTCTTGATACCGACTGGAAGTGGCTAGTTGTTGCTCGCCATGAACTTTTTTAAATAGGGTTGTACGACATTTTATACGATGTATCCAATGGGTTGTATTTTGCTAGATGCAAATCTACACTTCTTGAGGTTGGCGTTTGGCTGTGCAAACACATAAACGCAAAGACGCTAACGAAAAAAGGATAGATGAAATCCCACGTCGGTCTTTTAGTATCTACGTCGGATACGGACGAACATATCGTTAAAATAACTCGGTATGACGTCTTATCGATCTCGACACATGCAACAACAATTGTTGAATACGTCTAACGCATTCGAACAGTTTTGGTGTAACGGAGTTAGAACGACCCGTACTTAACTTACACGTACGCTCAAGGAAGCGTCGAGCCCAAGTATTAGGTATTGAGTAAATTTAACTCTGTTTATATTTTAGTCTTTTTAAATCCTAAGTACGAATTGTTCCCTTGGACTCACAGGAACCACTTAGTTTACGTGTCGATATCTTACTGGATAATAACGGGTCTAGCCCCACAAATTTTGCTAATATATACAACGCGCTTCATACGAATTAGCGGATGTATCTCTCCTACTTAAGTAACACGCAAATTTAATCAGAACTACTTTCGTAAAGGGGTGGCCCATTAGATTTGGAATGAACTATGTATCCCATGTCATAACACTGGCGTTGCTTCTGTGTGCTAAGAGGTGTTTAATTCGTGTATCAGAATTTGGTATACGTCATTTATCGGATACATAGACGAAAGGATCGCACGATCATTAAGATAGCGTTTACATACACTTCCTTCCTAGTGTCATAGTATAAATCAGTAACATTGCTGCGTTTCACGCATCTAATGCATGTACTACCACCATCTTGCTGATTCCGTACGCACAAAGCAGGTAATATAGACATGTGGTTGGATGAGGCTGACTCCCTTATACTAACCTGCCCCAAAATCTCAAACTAAAATGTCGAGCGCAATGACTCGCTCGAGAGGTAATGGTCACTACTCCATAACAGGTATTTCAAATTCGGCATCAGGTCTATATCATGACGAGTACCTTTATCGTATCGCATATCACGAAAAAATGAGTATGTCAGTTGATTCGACCAAATACTCATGGAGAATGGTCTACTTTGCACAAATCCCGTATTTATACGGATAAAGTTTGATCAAGTCTTCCCTTCAACTAACTCGCGCCTATCGAATGCGTTTAAGAGCTGATGACTTTCCGAAAATACCACTGCCGACCTAACTTCGATTACACATACGTCGTCTACCACGATTTCGCAGATCAGCTTGACTTTATGACTACGTAATATCGCAAGAACAATTAATTATCGAACGATAACAGGCTTATAAATATCCGTACTTACAAAGAAGGTGCAATCAGGTCGAGCGCATGTGCCTAAAATCATAGTCCACTATTGTTCAAGCTGTAAAACTCTCGTTAGTTTTCATTTACTTTTTCTATCGGTGATATTGCTGTACATGAAATACGCAGGTATTATAGTTTAGCTCAGCTTCATCAGTTTGTTGATACAAACAAGGGCGATATCCGCTCAGATTGGGGATTTAGCCGATCAAGATCGACCGTGTTGTCTCTTCCAGTCAAGTTATATTCCCCTTATGCAGATTGTGCCTGATAAATGATCATGCATGAGGTTTTGGCGCTGCCTACATTTCTGTGAACAAGAAGGTAGCTTGCTCAAAGTGTTAACGTCTTTCAAAATATGCTTGCATATGGACGTACTAAGAGCGATCTTAGAGTGAGGCAACCGCGCAAACTCAAACAACATATTCATGCTTGAGGGAATCTTTATGATGTTGTTCATATATACGTCTGTTGAAAAGAGTTGAATATCTTCACGGTTTTGTATAACCAGACGATCTGACGTGCACCTTTCGAGCTATAGAAATTCAGTGTATATGTAAAATGGTTCCTTATTTCAATATCGATGTAGATTTGCCGCACTGTTTCGTCCAACATGTATCTATATTTCACTACATGTTTCTTTACTGTTCCTGATTCGTGTGTTACAAGGCGCACCTTTACACTCGTGATAAAGATGTCGCGCTCAGATTGCTTGTCCTGCACACGTCAAGTGACTAGCTTCGGGCGACATGACTAGATGCCCGCAGTCTACTAGGAAGCTAATTGTCATTTGATATGTGTCGTGTGTGATGCATTTAATGTTATTTATTAATATCATCCTGACGGTCATGATGTATCTCACCTCATTGAGATTACCCACCCGATGATGTGACTGTGCTGCCTCAACCTCCATCAATAGTCAAAATATGTTAACGTTACCCCGTTAGTAGGGCACCACTTCCCTATAGATCTCTACCG